TGTGTAAGTGTTGTTGTACTATAAAATAGCGTAACATAGTTTTAGTTCACAATAAAACTATAAAAAGACTGTTTTCTATATTGTTATGTTCTCTTTGTTGTAAACCGGTACGTATTATTTGTACCCCTTTAGTGTAAACCGGTACGTTGTATTTGTATCCTGTTAGTGTAAAACCGGTACGTTGTATTTGTACCCCGTTAGTGTAAAACAAGTATGTTGTATTTGTACCCCGTTAGTGTAAAACCTGTACGTTGTATTTGTACCCCTTTTGTGTAAAACCGGTACGTTGTATTTGTACCCTGTTAGTACGTTTTTTTCTAGTATACTTAAAATGTAAAGTATATGTAAAGTAATTTGTACGAGAGTATATAGTTAAATCTTGTATACCTGACTAGTGAAAATAGTGTGAGAGTTCCATAAATTATACCTATTATAATTTATATGTATATTCTCTTTGATGTGAATTATTCGTGAAAATACCCCTTTGCTCAGCATGTTACAAAGGGTAATAAATCTGATTGAAGTAACTTTTTATATTCATATATATATATATATATATATATTATATATATATATATATATATATATATATATATATAAAATTAAAATTGAAACGACATTCGGACAAATAATGCTACCCTAAGCCCACTCCAAACAAGGAAAAGGAAATAAAGCGAATATTAGTCCTAAGCCCTTTAAATCTTATATATATATATATATATATTATATAGATATATATATATATATATATATTATTATATATGATTTTGACAAAATATAAGTTTAAAAGAGTTTCAGTAACTTAAAAATCATTTAAGTAATATTTAGAAATCATATACTTGTAAACACAATATTCTTGTGTTAGACTTGTATTTCCCCCTAAAACAGTGAAAAATAGTAAAAACGCAGGGGTATGAACTCACCTTTTTAGGAGTTTCCGGTTGAAAATACGATGTTGTAGAGCTAAAGCCACAAGTTAGAACTCGTGATAAAACTGAATCCTAATTTCTATTAACATTAATTTACGTATAAATTAGATAATCTAGTAATGTTTAAAGTGTTAAAGAACACTTAATTATTGTAAGAAGACTTACAATAATTCTTAGAATAGTGTGTTCATGTTCTTCGTGTTCTTCGTGAAAACTAGTGAATTTTGGTGTTTTCGGTTGGGAATCAAGAGAGTGGATGATGATTTTCAAAAGATGTGAAGAATAGTTGAAGAAATTGATACGAATTTATGAAGATTCAAGTGATCTTCGCAAGATACTTGAGAGGAAAGAGTGTTTTCGGTTGAAGTGTTCTTGAGAGAAAGGTGATTTTCACATGTGTTTCTTGAGAGGATTTGTGAGTGTTTTCGGTTAAAGATGTAAGAAGTGAGGGTATGTTTTCGGTCCTCCATATATATAAGGCTGAAATCGTGATGGGACACTTTGGTTGGGAAGTGTGAAGTGGATAGAACTTGGATGGTTTTCGACCTAGAACGTGAATCATGCGAGGTTTTCGGTCCGAAGGGTTTACGGCCGAAAACGAGGTTTGTTGTCCGAAGTTTGCGGTTGCAACCGGTTTGTGGTCCGAAGCGAAGGGCAGTCCGAGGGTTTTCGGTCTAGGAGAGAATCCTCGGTTTTTCTTGGGTGATTTTCCTTCTAAACTTTACACATTTTAACACAAGTTTTATCCTAACCAAAATCATTAATTTAATTTTATTAAATTAACAATACAACAAGTTTGACTTTTATTAGATAGGTTTGACTTTCGTTGACTTTGTTTGACTTTTACAAGATTGAAAATAACGGGTTGTTATATTATCCCCCCGTTAAAGGGAATTTCGTCCCGAAATTTAAGACTATAGAGATACAATAAGACTAGGGAAAGAGATGCGGGTATTTTTGCTTCATTTGATCCTCATGCTCTCAAGTGAATTCAGGTCCCCGCTTTGCATTCCAGCGAACCTTTACTATCGGGATACGACTTTGCTTTGTTCTCTTGACTTCCCTATTTAGGATTTCTACTGGTTCTTCCACGAAGTTGAGGCTCTCATTTATCTCGATTTCATCGAGTGGGATAACAAGAGTCTCGTCGGATAAGCACTTCTTTAGGTTAGACACGTGGAAGGTAGGGTGTATGTTACTGAGTTCTCGGGGTAGTTTGAGTTTGTATGCTACTGGACCGATTCTAGCAAGAATCTCGAATGGTCCTATGTACCTTGGGTTTAGTTTTCCATGCTTTCCAAAGCGTATCATGCCCTTCCAGGGTGAGACCTTCAACATGACGCGGTCACCAACCTAGAATTCCAAGGGTTTTCTTCTCTTGTCTGCGTAGCTTTTCTGTCTGTCTCTGGAAGCTTTAAGTCGTTCTCTGATTTGCGCTCCTTTTTTGTTCCAGAACTTTCTTTTCTTGCTCTTAGGTTTGTGGTCTCGGGTGTCTTTGATGACTGTCATTCTTTGGTTTCCTTGGTTGTTACTACGATTTGAATTGTCAACACCGTTTTCATTTTCGTTTGCATTGTTAGCGTTGATTTGCGTCATGACAGCTGTCACGGCAGCTGTTATGGCGACTTGGAATGTAGCGGAGTCTATATGTAGGTTCGGGGTTTCATCGGTTGATCGGTTATTTCCATGTGAAGACATGATTCTGATGCATGAAGGGAAACGAGTGCGTAAATAATTAATGTAGCTGATAGTTGTACACTATCTATTTATATAAACATATAAATTTCTCATTTTTCTATACGGTTCTTAATGTTTCGACCGACATCTCTGTAATGTTTCTATGGTATTGAGTAGTAATAGGTATCTGTAAAAGTTTTTAAGTTACCAAAACGGAATATTGGTGTCAAAACCTTAAATTGGCTCGGGTTTTATATGTTTTGAAATTGGTGTCAAACGGAATATTGGTGTCAAACCATGAAAGTCAAGCATGTATAACAACTTGTATAATTATACAAGTTTACTTGTATTCTCCCCCTAAAACTTGGATAAAGATGAAAGTGAGGGGTATGAACTCACCTTGAGTGTGTTTCTTGGTGGATAAAGAGATGAAGATGAGAGATTTCAAGCTAAGAACACTTAAAGGTAGGAAGATCCTATGGATTTTAACACATATTGATGTGTGTAATTGTAACAAAACTAGTATATATATGTATAGAATCACTAGATTAGTAAGGAAAAACTTACCAAAAGATTAAGAACCAACTTATGCCAATTAGTCTTGAGAGAGAGAGAGAGAGAGAGAGAGAGAGAGCTTGTTCTTGAGGGAGGAGATGAACAAAGAGATGAAAAAGATAGGAGGGGGGGGGTCGGCCGAATAAAGAAAAGAGAGACGAAGGGTGAGGGGGGGGGGGAGTAAGGAATGGTTTCTTGAATTTAATATTCAAGTATGGCTCTTTTAATTAACTAAAAATATTTTATAGAAGGTGTAATAACCATATAAGACAAATGTGGTCTTTTTAGTGTATCTGTATAAAAAAATTGGGTATGTTTAGAAGTATATGTTTAGAAGCTTATCGTTTAAGTTGGTGAGTTCATAAGTATTTATGTTTAGAAGCTTATCGTTTGTTTCTTGAAATATTGAGTGTGTTTATTGTTCCAGAAAATCCAATATTTTCTAATATAACTGTAAAATAGTTTTAATACCATAAAATTGTTCTGTGTAAGTGTTGTTATACTATAAAATAGCGTAACATAGTTTTAGTTCACAATAAAACTATAAAAAGACTGTTTTCTATATTGTTATGTTCTCTTTGTTGTAAACCGGTACGTATTATTTGTACCCCTTTAGTGTAAACCGGTACGTTGTATTTGTACCCCGTTAGTGTAAAACCGGTACGCTGTATTTGTACCGCGTTAGTGTAAAATAGGTACGTTGTATTTGTACCCCGTTAGTGTAAAACCCGTACATTGTAATTGTACCCCTTTGTGTAAAATCCGTACTTTGTATTTGTATCCCTTTTGTGTAAAACCGGTACGTTGTATTTGTACCCTGTTAGTATGTTCTTTTTCTAGTATACTTAAAATGTAAAGTATATGTAAAGTAATTTGTACGAGAGTATATAGTTAAATCTTGCATACCTGACTAGTGAAAATAGTGTGAGAGTTCCATAAATTATATCTATTATAATTTATATGTGTATTCTGTTTGATGTGAATTATTCGTGAAAATACCCCTTTGCTCGGCATGTTACAAAGGGTAATAAATCTGATTGAAGTAACTTTATATATATATATATATATATATATATATATATATATATATAATATATATATATATATATATAGGCTTAGGTTATTGTATTTACACTAATTATTGTGTTATTGTATGCATAAATGTGGGCCAATCATTTTACTTAATTTAAGAAAGTGATTAATATATATTATTAAATTAAAGATAATTGAAAAATACCATCTAATTTCATTCTAAGGGTCTTTTAGACAATTGAGATAAATTTAAAAAAGGAAACTTCCATATTTTTGGGGATAATTAACTCTCTTGATTTTAAAATTCTAATTTTTTTAATTACTTTAATTTTAATTATAACGTAATTTTTATAATTAAACCCGATTTTATTCTGTTAGAATCAGATTCTCTACAAATTTCAGGATACATGTTTCTATTAGTAAAAACTTTATATAATAGTCTATGACAATGAAATACTCACTAATAACAAATAAAATTATGTATATTATTCGACCTTAATATTCTAGCAGAATATATTATTACATATACTCCTATCATTCTATTGTAGATTATTCTATCAGAAGAATAGCTCTTTCCTTAATCATCCATGAAATTATACATTTAACGCAAATAACTGTCATGAATCAAATCATGTAAGAATAATATTCTCTGAGAATGCTTAGAATCACTTTCAAATTTGCGGTTCGTTCTTCAAGCATCAACTTCTATCAAAACAAAACCAAATTGTATTTTAGATTCTAACAAAATTGGAATTCATGATTCCATTCCAACATAATTGGAATTCATGATTCCATTTCAGAAACATTGACGAGCTCTTGAGAAAACAAAGCAAAAATCTTTGCAACGCTTTTCATTTGTAGAAGAAAAATTGACCCAACATTAACATGCAACATACAAAAAATTATGAGTTTATTACCATCCATACTTGGCTTGTGTTTTTGCTTTTGTGAGAAAGCCTTTTGAGCGCCTTTCTGCCAATTCCATCTCTTTAGATCTCATATCAAAGTATAAAGATCCAATCTGATGTTTCCTCTTGTGCAGCTTCGTTGGCTTCCTCTTCCCTGAAGAAGCTGGCTGAAAATAATCCAGAATAGGAGACTATAAGTACAATTCTAGAACATCAAAAACATTTTCAATCTTACAAATTGAAACAGGGTTCTTACTTCTTACTATGAGACCAAGAAAATATAACCAATTACCTGATATGAGGGCCCAAAAGCTATTCCAGTTGATTTGTCTTGGTCTTCTCGTGGTCGATTCTTCATTAGTTCATCCTGACTAACCTCAATTATCTCATGCGGAATCTCATTCCTACCTCTCTTGCCAGGAACCCTCGTCATATTTTGTATAGCGGCTGCTTCTGAAATTTCTGGCTGCATATTTCTGTCAATCCAAATTTCTGGAAACCCTAATTCCTAAAATTCAATTGAATCCCCACCTGTCATCGGACCCTCTTCTGGTCTCACCCCTCGCTGTTAGAATCAGAAGAGAGTAAGCGGAGAGTTGCTAATCAACCCTTGCTGCCCTCGCTTCACCCTCCTCTCCATCCGATTCAGTCGATTAAACCACCTAAAACACCCCCTTGGAGATCAGCGATCTACTTTGCCTTCCCCATTCGTGTGGCTGCTGATCGGGCCAGAAAGAAAAGAAAGAAAACGCCGGTGATAGTCGGTTTTGTAGTCAACACCATGATTATAGGGATTAATTTTGGAAGTTACTAAACAAATTACTAAATTACCCTTATTTATTTATTTAATTATTTAATTTTTTATTTAATTTTGATTGGCCCACATTTATGCATACGATAACACAATACTTAGTTTAAACAAATGAACCTAGCTCTCTCTCTCTCTCTCTCTCTATATATATATATATATATATATATATATATATATATATATATATATATATATAAAATTAAAATTGAAACGACATTCGGACAAATAATGATACCCTAAGCCCACATCCAAACAAGGAAAAGGAAATAAGGCGAATTATTAGTCCTAAGCCCTTTAAATCTTATATATATATATATATATATATATATATATATATATATATATATATATATATATATATATATATGGTTTTGACAAAATATAAGTTTAAAAGAGTTTTTAAAACATTTAAAGGAATTTGACAATATTTAAAAGAGTTTCAGTAACTTAAAAATCATTTAAGTAATATTTAGAAATCATATAATTGTAAACACAATATTCTTGTGTTAGACTTGTATTCCCCCCCTAAAACAGTGAAAAATAGTAAAAACGCAGTGGTATGAACTCACCTTTTTGGGAGTTTCCGGTTGAAGATACCGTGTCGTAGAGCTAAAGCTACAAGTTAGAACCATGTTGTTATACATGCTTGACTTTCATGGTTTCGAAGTTTTCCGTTGCAACCGGTTTGCGGTCCGAAGAGAAGGGCAGTCCGAGGGTTTTCGGTCTAGGCGAGAATCTTCGGTTTTTCTTGGGTGATTTTCCTTCTAAACTTTACACATTTTAACACAAGTTTTATCCTAACCAAAACCATTAATTTAATTTTATTAAATTAAAAATACAACAAGTTTGACTTTTATTAGATAGGTTTGACTTTCGTTGACTTTGGTTGACTTTGTTTGACTTTTACAAGATTGAAAATAACGGGTTGTCACAGCAAGCTGGGCCCTAGATACATCGGTCCTTTCAGAGAGATCTCTCGAGTATGTAAGGTGGCTTATCGGTTGGAGCTGCCTGTAGAGTTGAGTCAGATTCATAACACCTTCCACGTGTCTCAGCAGAGGAAGTGTGTAGCAGATGAGACGACAGTGGTTCCCTTAGAGGACATTCAGGTTGATGATTGCCTGAACTACATTGAGAAGCCGGTAGTGATCTTGGATAGGAAGGTGAAGGTCTTGAGGAATAAAGAGGTGCCTTTGGTTCAGGTTCAATGGCAACATCGGAAGGGATCCGAGTAGACTTGGGAGCCGGAGTCCAAGATATGGGAGCAGTACCCAGAGTTGTTTCCAGAGGATGACTTCGAGGGCAAAGTCTGATTCTAGTGGGGGAGAATTGTAACATCCAGACTCCAAGGTATAATATTTCATTAATGTGCATTCATGATGTTAGAGCAATTCGACGAGTTGGATGCCCCAACTCGCCGAGTAGAGGAGTTAATAGCCGCGTGATTTTTAGAGTCCACTCGACGAGTTGGAGGACCCCAACTCGACGAATAGGTGCTGAGTGTGAAAACCCTAATTTTCAGGTTTTGTGTCCTAATTAAAGGACCTTAAGCCTTCATTTACGCCTCCCTTATCATCTTAGCACTCTGAGAAAAACCCTAATCGAGCTATATCCTTGTGTGAGAAAAAGAGAGGCTAACACTTCATACTTTGGTGCATTTTGAAGGAAGATTGAGGAGCAAAAGGCTTGGGACGAGAGGGAGCTCTTGGATCCGGTGTTCATTCATCCCTAGCTTCTGTTTGAAGGTAAAAAGTTACCACCTTGATCATTATTTGGTTAGATCTCTTTTCTAGGGAGATTAGGGCCTTTTTCCACCCCTCGTTGAGCACTTGAGTTGTTTGAGCTTGTCGTGGAGTTGAGACTTCAGATCTGGACAATATGATGTCCCTTGAGCCCAAAGGTCCAAGCTTTATCAAGTTAGTGGCAAGCTTTTATGCATTAAACCCCATATAGAGCTTGTTTTGGCATTTCGAGCCCTAGATGTCATGCATGGATGTAAAGCTTGCAGCTTTACGTGGTATTTCAGCCTTGGGAGGCTAGATCTAGATTTTGGGACATTATTTCTGCTTAGAATCGTCTGAATGAGAATTGGTCTAGAGGAACTCGGCGAGTACATGAGCCAACTCGGCGAGTCAGTTAGGGTTTTCCCCGATAGTCTGAACGCGCTACAACTCGGCGAGTTGATGAGACAACTCGACGAGTTGAGTTGGAGTTTTCCCGATTCTTCTGAGGACAAGAGGAACTCGATGAGTCACATAGGTGCACTCGCCGAGTTGGGTCAACAGGGACTGTTGACTCGAGTGTTGACTTCCGCTGACTTTTAGGGTTTGGTCAATTGTGGACTTTGAAGACCATGGATGGGTAAAATGGTATTTTCACCCTTTTGAGACCTAGTAGAAGAGTTTGCTTAGTGGTTATTACAAATTGTTGATTAGAGATAATTATACTATGTAGGCGGAGTCTAGACTGTTCGTGGGGTACTAGATCTACTTGCTTACTTACGAGGTGAGTCTTCTCTCTATACTTACCTGATTAGTAATACAGTGTGACTGGAGGGTCTTATATGCTTATGTTGAGTTATGTGATATTATGCATTTGTCTTTGTGATTTATGTTGTAATTTATTCTGTTCTTTATTGGTGAGGACCGGAGTGTCCAACCCGAGTTGTGAGACCAGAGGGTCCTTACTGAGACACATGGACCGGACGGTCCTTATAGAGATATAGCCATGAGAGGCTAAGAAACTGTGTGTGGTATTCTGGGGAACTCACTAAGCTTCGTGCTTACCGTGTTGTGTGATATGTGTTTCAGGTACTCCTCAGGATCGCGGGAAGGCGCCGACTTGATTTTACACACTTGTTCGAGATTATGTTTGAGGATTCTAGGATACTATCAGTTGTTTTGTTGATTTGTGATTTTGAAAAATGATACATTGTGGTTTTGAGAAAATGTGATATTGAGTTTTATGTGATTTAAAAATGAAAATTTTGTTTGAAAATTTACGGTGTTACAAGTTGGTATCAGAGCCTTGGTTTGAGGGATTCGGATGTACTCTCGGGTATGTATGGACTCAAACTGAGGATTTGAGAAAAAATTTCTAAAAAGAAAAGATTTTTCTAAAAACGAGTAAGAGCTTTTAAGAGATAACGAGACGGAGCAGTGTGTACAATTAGCCAGAGCCCGAACGGTGATTTCCCAAAATACCATTACTTGTTGTATTATGAGATATTAGAGTTGCATGCTAGAGGATAGGCTAGGTATTTCAGAATTTAGAGCTAGAGTTGCAAGATTCATGACGCCTTAGCCTAGGGTATGCTATTGATTGATCTTATCTGCTATTTGCTCTGTGTGTGTGTACTGAGTAGGGAGAAACATAGCAGGAACCTTTTAGAGAGAGTTCAAAGTAATCTTGGAGAGGTACCTAGATGAGCAGTAGGGAATTTACCGAGAGAGTAGTTTGATATCCGTGAGGGATAGAGTATTGTGAATTAGGATCCTAGGAGGAGGACTTGGGACGACTACCGGTTGGTGTGGAAGGTAGTATTGGGCCCGTACTACTGAAAGCACTGGATCTGTATGCGACCCAAGTAAGAATATTAGGATGCTAAGGAGCATGTAGGGGTGGGTAACCGAGTGTGTGTGTGTATTGAGCTAGTCTCTGACGATTTTGTATTTGCGTTTCAGAGACACTATGGTGATTACCCGCAACAACTCCGGGGGGCAGTGGTACCAGTGACGAGGAGATCCGCAGGATCATTCGTGAGGAGGTGGCCGCAACTATCAGAGAGGCCATACTCGAGATGTTCGGGTCTATTAAGACCACACTGATTGAGATGTTTGATGAACGATACGCTGATGTCACAGAGGCTGCTGTTGCCGCAACCCTAGCTGCTTCGAGGCCATAGGGGGTGAGTCATTGTTGTTTTGGGAGTTCAGCAACACGAAGCCACCGGAGTTTGATGGGACCCAGGACCCGATTGCTGCCATGAGATGGATCTCCGATATTGAGGGGTGTTTCTATACGTGTCCATTCCCTGAGCATCTGAGGTTCAGTTTGCGCTGAACCAGCTTCGCTTGGGAGCGAAGGACTGGTGGAAGTTTGTGACGACTGATTTTACCCCTGCAGATCATGCTGCAGTGACTTGGGAGAGGTTCACCAAGTTATTCCGAGCTGAGTATGTTCCCCAGGTGGAGAGGGAACGTTTGGCACAAGAGTTTCTGTCTCTCAAGCAGAAGACAGAGTCAGTGACAGAGATTACGAGGACGTTTCATGAGAGGGCGTTGTTCTTCCCTGAACACGTTTCTACTGAGCAGGCATGGGTGAGCCGATACTTGAGCATACTGAGGCGAGATATTAGGGAGTTTTCGTGGCGAACTCTTCGTATCGGACATTGGCTGAGCTACAGACCAATGCCAGGAGGAGGGAGATTGAGCTAGAGCTTCAGATTAGAGAGGAGGAGGAGTCCCAGGGTAGAGACATGAGACCAGTACAGTCCCAAGGTCCTTATAGAGATATAGCCGTGAGAGGCTAAGTAACTGCGTGTGGTATTCTGGGGAAATCACTAAGCTTCGTGCTTACCGTGTTGTGTGACATGTGTTTCAGGTACTCCTCAGGATTGCGGGAAGGCGCCGACTTGATTGTACACACTTGTTCGAGACTAT